TGCAGCCTTCTTTATATTACATTTCTTACGCTCCGTTAAATGTTGCATACACATATATAAATATATATAGTGGGGACGACAGGTGGCGAAAAACTGATAAACTTCGTCAATTAACTGCTTATGACCCATCTGTAGACCCAGTGGCGGACAAACTGTGCTGGATGCGTCTGTGCGCATGCTTGTACTTCTTGTCCTGGCTGATGGTCTGGCTTATGATTGGCTGAATGAAAGCAAAATAAGCCCGAAACAGTACTGTGTCTGTCTGTCGGTCTTACAATTGAAATTTCTTTATCAAACCCAAGTTCTCAATTTTCAAAATTATTACATTGAGTATTTTGGCCCAATAATTATATTGGTAAAAAACAATTTATATCACTTCATTCACATCCTGCATTATCTGATAACAAGAACTGGTATGCTACTTTTCGGCACCTACAACGTTCCGTATTGTGTTCTATCACCTCACCCCGTACGGAAAATATAACTCTTTTCTATGGAGTCTGTGTGGAAATGATTTTATCATGCGAAAGAATTATAAATATCAGCTGATACATGCTTTCTGTCCTAGGCATGCGACCATATCCGCGTTTAGTGTTTTGTCCTTTAAAGGACACTAATAAAACCTTCAGGGGTTTATCCAGCAAAACGTATCGCCTTAAAAAACGAGTTTGGTCACGTGTTAAACTCCACTTGTAGGCTGCAAACAGCCTCCTTGGAGTAAACTAAATCTCGTGTAAGTTTCTGAAAATAAGATATGGGAAGTTAGACAATTCATCCCGTTAACATGTTAACGTTTTAAGGCTTTTTTAACCTCTGGCCGAACGTGCTGATCTATGTTTTGTCGTTTGTAAATACACTAATTGCGGTCGCGAAAATGGCCATTGCTGAATCGTTATTCTAAACTCTGGACATACGAAAAAATACGTTTTGAATGATACAGCTTCTGCTAATACATAAGTTAAAAAAGAAACGGGCAGGGTGTCAACTGTTTGAGTACTATCTGCAAATTTTCTATGCATTCAGATTCGCGCAGTGGCTTTTAAACGAAAGCAGAGCTAACAGATATGGCTGGCGTATAAAGAGAATTATATGTTCGCCTGTTTAATACTTAACGATTGTCTCAATTTTTTGCAAAGAACAAAACACCCAAAGATACCAAAACCGCAATTTAACTGGCTCCGTATGCAAACACATTTCATGAACATCCGTCAACAAAGTACAGTATCATAGCGCTCGTTATCGATATTTGTCGTTGACGTTTGCTGTCGACATCCGCTATTTTGATTCCAGGGTTCTATGTTTTTTTTGGGAAAATGTAAATGCGATCAAAACAGCCAATCACACATCAATTCGTCTAAAGCTTTAAGAAGCATCTTGCATAACAGCTTTGGCAAATATACGGAACAAGACCTACCCCTCTGCGTATTCGATTTAAAGCCCTGAAAACAATAACACGCGGAAATTCGACGGACTCCGTCATCAGTAAAACTCAAATATAGGTTTGACGGATAATAAATTTCACTTTACACATAAAATTGTGTGGTAGTAACGTGCCAGCCTGAAAACTTGCGACCTTATGAAAACGTATTCGTGCTACGCCTTTGCCCCTGACATAAAATGAGATGCTTGTCACTTTAATCAGTCATATTTTGGGCATTTCACTACGGAAAAGTATGAAAATGTTGTACAACATGATCTTAAAACAATTGATCGGGCACGATGCTCATTACTGAGCGCCATGCTTTAAGTAACACAGGGGCTTTAACGATATTTAAGAATATTGCTTCGTGAAGCCAATAGATCGGTGTACGCCCTTTCCTGATTGAAAAAAGACCCGATCCGCAGCGACAGAGAATGACAGGTGGCAAGGTGCTGATGAACTTCGGTTCGATGAAGTGCTCATGACCCATCTGGTAGACCCCAGTGGTGGACCGACTGCGCCAGCTGCGTCTGTGCGCATGTTTGTGTTTCTGGTCCCAGCTGCTGGTGGTCAGGTTTATGCTTGGCTGAATGAAGGCACAATAAGCCTGAAACAGTACTGCATCAATCTACCCGCATCTTTGTCATCCCTCCTTTCTGCTATAAATAAATGTATACAAAATCACTTTCTAAACATTACTTTGCATTTATTTTTGTAAAGTTAGTCATTTTCATAATCAAGCGTTGTACAATTTAACAGTGCATGTCTAATATCGTGATATGTCTTCTTCACTGTCGACACTTCCGACTTTCCTGACAAAACCTTCCCTGCTTACTAAGAAAGCGTATTTTTCAGGACATGCTTTGTGTAGTTACTTTTATTGAAGCTTGTATCTCGATAACATAGTGTTTTAATAGATGCTCTCGGGCTGATTTCAGGTCGGTTCGTGATTTTGCGCTAACAGAGACATGTTTCATAAGCCCAATCCATTACTATGGGCGCCTAATAAATTTTCACGTGCTTAAAGTTCATTTTTCGTTCTTTTTATAGACTCACAGACGTCAAACATGCCGTCTACCGTTCGTCACGATAGGTTAATGAAAACGTCTGCATGATTTACGGGAAAATTCTTTGCCTAACGATGGATTCCATTATTAGTAGGTAAATTAACATGCAATTAGCCTAAGCACCATTATTATGCAAAGAATCGCAGAACTTGATTGCACCGCCGAAGAACCGCAATGAACACACATAACCTCCTTAGTGTTGACTGACAACAAATAGTCGTTTAAAAGCCAAAAAGCATATAAGCGACCTGTGTTAGTGCATTGAAATGGGCAATTTTTTTATGTATATTAAAATTTTAGTCCTTAAAACTTTATCAAACTAATGCATAAGTTTAGATACATGCATTATAGGCACTCATTATGAAACAGGAAACCTAATGGCTGTAAAATATATACAGCTGAGCAGCTTTTGTTTTAGAGTTGCAAAAAGTTCCATTGAAATTTCAAAATACAATTTGGCGAGCAAACGTTAGCTTTCGATAAATTCGCATCAGACCTATACGTTTATATTGCTGTCGAAGTGATTAAAAAGAGAAAATGCGGGCAAGGAATAGTTTTTTTCTCTAGGAGGGGTTTGGGAGTGAGGAGCGTCTGGGGGGGTGAGGTGAAAAACGAAACTACCGTCAGTGTCAGGGGGGAGAAGGGGATGGCGGGCACTGGTGGATTTGGACCAAGGTAACTGTGGGATCTGCACGAAGTCCTTTTACGCGCATAGAACTGGTATATACAGTCTGATTGCAACCGCCTTTGCCGCTGCCAACAGGCGCTTTCCTAATGATTTTAGATAGCTTGACTTAACCTTGTGAATCTCTCGAAAAGACTGTCCGGCATCTACACGGTGATCTATGTCTACCATTTGGACGAGGATAGAGCTGTTAAAGTTCTTTAATTCCTCCTTTCCTACCCATTCTAGAAGGTGCTTTCTTCTTGTTCTTTTGGACAAACGTCGACTCGTGCGACCACTATATTCTGCTCCACAGGAGCAGATGAAGGAGTAAATACACCGACAAGTGGCCCGTACTGACAGTTTGTCCTTGCCCTTTCCGCGTAGGATGGGACTAGGGGAGAAGAGTACACGGGCGTCAGCTGCTGGGAAGTTGCGTAATACAGCTTGCGTTAGGTGCCCTCTTAGAAGTTCGCTTGGTGAGTCCCTTGAAGTGGAAAACTAATGAAAAGGCAAAGTAAAGACCGTTTAGTGGTTAGCATTGTTATAATATGTGCAAATACGTTCACTTCCAAAGACTTATTATTAATGCCATTTTTGGAAGTAGAAATGGGTTTAGCCTACGAAAGGATGGCGTCCACTTTATGCCAAGAATGCCGCTACAAGTGACAATTTTCGTGACAGCGTCGATAAATACTTCCCTGCTGCTATTGTCCGCCGAAGACAGAAAGAGTTGTCGCTCTTACAATTAGTTGAACCTTTAAATAATTACACATAGACGTTTTGACGTTGGAATTGGCACAGCGTGCTATTGTGGAAAGTTTATTCCACATATAATTACATGACCTTCATTTGCGTAGGCATGTGCTGAACTTAATCCAAACATAAAACGCGATTTAATATTTTTTCGCGCTTAACACTTAACTTTAAAGAAATCTAGCAAATGACGGCCTATTTTCCTCATCAATTTTGCAATCAGTTCATAAAATTGCACAGATTTATTCCTTTGTGAATAGTGTAAATCGTCTCAAACCATAGTTCTGCTTGCTGGCAACACGCTTAATCTGTCAGTACTACGTACACCTTGTGCATATGCGGAATAATTTGACCGACCAGCAAAAGGGAGACCACAGGGCCATTTCTAACTTATTAGCATACCCAATTCCGTGGTTTTGCAAAAAAAGAGGGTCGATTTCAGGTTAATTTGGCTTATAACGCAGTCAATTGCAATCGGTTATACTGGCAATGGGAAGATAGGACCAAAAAGTTCTTTTATACGAACGGTGGCATCCCATTACCATAATGTAAGAGTCGAATCGTAAAAAATAAGACAACAAACAGCTGGCTCAATTGTCAGGATATTCGGCAATGGCCGAAACCCCAGATGCCGTAAGTTAAGCTTTGGTCATTACTGGTGGATGATGGCTTAGAAGCCTGGAATGACAATTCGGTAAACGAAGCGACCATAACGTATATATCTCCACAGCCCAACGTTAAAAACGCGAATTTGGCTATGGAAAATAGGTTTAAAATGGCTATGCACAAAAGTATTTTTTAACTGTATCATAATACAATCGAAGATACGAGTCCCACGAAGCAGTCTTGAAGAAGAAGACGCGATCGCCGGGACAAGAACTTTAGTAGCCTGACGTTTAGGATTCCTGCTCGAATCTATCATCAGAGACAAGAGCAGTTGATCCCGATCGTTACCGTCGAAGGTATCATCCACATACCGGGCCCAGAATTTTGGTTTGTGGTGTTGGAAGACCAGCGACTCTAAACGTTGCAGGACCGCCTCTGCGATGGACCCCGAAATCGGCGAACCCATTGGTGTGCCCTTCACATGTTCCTAGATTGTCCCGTCGAACGTGAAGTACGTGCTGAGACAGAACTTCAGGAGCTGAAGGATTTGGGCGCGTCCAAGACGATTCTCCGTTTCATCGTATTCGCTTTGTAGAAGCAGCTCGATTGTCTTGATCGCCAGGTCCTGGGGAATAGAAGTAAAAAGGGATGTAACATCAAAAGAGACCATGACCCTATTTGGATGGATGCTTACCCCTTTGAGTTTCTCCAAGAATTGTGCTGACGAAGAGACCGTGGTGTCTGACTCAGCGGTCAGGAACTTGAGACGCCGGAACATCCACTTAGCCAGTCCGTAAGTTGGAGTACCCTTGAGCGACGCGATAATTCGGAGAGGAGCGCCGTCTTTGAGCACCTTACGGAGGCGAGTGTCGGCCATCACGCCACGTGCAGCGATCCTGTTGATGGGGCGGAGCCGTGAATTTTTATAGCTATGCGGCAGCATGGCTGCTGCATTCTATAAATACTGCAGCCGCATATGCATGAACCATCCTTACCTGCTTTTGTCTGTGATGATGGATTCGAGCAGGAATCCGAAACGTCAGGCTCATAGAGCTCTTGTCCCGGTGATCGTGTACCAAAATACTTTTTCCTACCCGTCGCCATTTTTTAACAAGTACACAATAGTCATTTATAATATTCAAGGATCGTTGTTGGAACAATCCTAAGTCTCGCCAACGGGCACAGACGTGATGGCCGACCGCTATCCAAATATTTGATTACAATCTGATCAGAATCAGACCACTGTTAGGAGCAAAAATGACGTTATCTTGCAGAACGGTGGCGTTCACTCTATTCCATTAATACCGTTATGATCAGTGCTATTAATCATGACGTTGATAAGTGCATTGCGCTGCTGATAGCTCTTGACGACAGAAAGGTTGGTCGCTGTCCTGCCGGCTATGCTTTCCAATCAATCAGGCGCCGAAAAGTTCAATGGTTCGAATTGGCATAATGTGTTCTTCTGGGTGGCGCATACCTCCTATGATGAAATGGCCTATATTGTTATAATTGTCTAGGTAGTTAAACGCCTAAAACCATCCTTATAAAACACGAAAACGATCAAATTAGCTAACTTCTTAAAACCGACTTTAAGGCCAATTTGCAAATAAGACCCAAATAACTTTATCATTTTTTTAGTATTCTAACGGATCGCACAAACTAAAGCATATTATGGGCAGACCTTGACTTTACATGATGATTCTATGTAGCGGGGAAACAATAACTCTGGTGTTCTGCTTGCCGATATACTGTTTTGCCTATCTTCCCTAACTTTAAATATGGTTAATTGATCAATAATACGTCATTAATGAAGGTACTGATGATGTTTACTCCTTCTGCACATGCCGATTACCATTAAGGACAAGGATGAGGGAGACTGAATGACTATTTTTAGCTAACTAGTCATCATCGTCCAGTCATATATAATGCCTGGCTTCATAACACACGCGGTCGGTATTTGCGGTAACCGTTGATTTACTGGGTTTTCTATCTATCGGTTATAATCGGGTGCACAAGCCATGGTACGACTGGATGCGCAGATGCAGTAGTCCGATCGATAAGCACTCTCTGCATAATCAGCATATCCGGTCGCAACCGACAGGATAACCAGCTCTAGGCTCCATGTTTAAGGATTTGGATAGCAAAGCAACAAGTGTCGCGAACCTGGGATTTATTGTGGTTGGATAGTGGCCTCTCCAGGCTGCCATGTCGTTAGTATCTGTACTATGCGTCGGTGCGTGCCTGCCAGTGGTACTTTAAATTGCGTCCCAAGACATAGTGAGACCACCTAACATGCTTTTGGGGCGTCCTGAGACCACTATGTTATATTCAATGTCCACCCAAGCAATAAAGGTGTACTCGATAATTTTAAAAGGTATGTAGTTCAAGCTGCCGCAAGACAACAGTAATAAGGAACAGATGGAACTATCGCACCGCTGAGAATGGCGTCATTGACGTTACGGTAGCAAAGTATTCATCTGTGGGGGGAAATGCACAACGTTAACATAGGTGTCTGAGCGGGGATGGGTTGTTAGGTCTTGACCTTTCGGAGGGAGAACGAGATCTAGGAACTGATAATCGCTGAATTAGGATGAGTGATTGTGAATCGAGTGTAAAAGACCTTTTATTGAAAACATATAGCTCTACGGAGCAGTTTTTAACTCAATGGTGACAAACCCATGCCTTATTCTAGCTGAACATTACAATCCCTTCGGTATCATCCGAACTAATAAAGTTATTATCTTCTGGATATGCGCAAGGATGATTCAGGGTAGACCGTTCAGCAATATCGGTCATTTGCGGTTAACAATACGGGTGTTCAGATATTGGTTTGCTTGGCCTTCATACATGCGACAGCACTTCGTGCACGAAATGTGAGCAGATCACTTTTGCCTGGGGATCTTTATAGGTTGTTTTTTTTTGCACGGCACTGCCATGCACGGATAAAAGCTGACCTATAGACGTGGAGGATGGCAAATACATTTTGCAACCGGACAAACACTATAGGTGTCTCTGCACGTTAGCCAGAAAGTAGGATTTCTGCAAAGCACTTCTTCAGTGAGCCTGACGCCTTTAAAATCCAGAGGCCACTAGGTAGAAACAGCGAATGCTCTTGAACCAGCATTATTTTAACGGGATGGAATAGAGGTCGACAACATCCTTTTTTGTTGATCGAAATATGCTTCTCATGACATTAGTTACCTTTCCAAAAACGCATGAGGCGGTCATATCGTCACTCAGTCCTTGTACGCTCACATCTGAAAGCGGCGGGATGCCTATGCTTGTCTTTACGAGGGGGAATGTTAAGCAGAGGTAAAACTTCAATTAAAGGTGTATCTGTTCATTGTGCGTTCCTTTCTTTAGGGAAATTATCGTATTTTGGCCCAGAAGTTAGTGTCATATTCCACTCGTTGCAAAACTAGGCAGCATATTGGCGGTAATCCAGTTTGTTATTAACTGTCTGTACAATCGGCAACAGTTATTAAGCAGTCAGTGAATTATTTCTAAAACATATCGTGTACGTACGTCGATAAACTTTTAGCAGGCAATGATGTGCGTTTAAATGCGTCAAATCTGTGTTGGGCGTGAATCCGAGGCATTTACTCTAAACGGCGGGTTGCATCGTCTGATTGTCTCGACCGGTCACCCCCCTGAGCGGACAGCTCTTAACCAAAACCGGCATTCCCTGATTCGGTCTACGCGAGCGTCCCAAACTCGTCCGTAATACTAGTTATATGGCTGATCTGGCCCTCGTATGTGTGAAAGTTACCTACCCAATATGGCCTTCACTGCCGTACTAAATCTATGCCTTATCTGCCAGAATGCGGCTACAGTTTAAAGAAAAATTAATCAAGCTTTTCGAGTGTAAATTTACTCTTAACCCGAATGTATATTATGGCATTTTCTTCATAATAATTGCTGTCTATGAATGTTTTGGCAGATTTTGAATAATTTATATTGACCCAACTGTGAAAAACTCGGTGCCTAAGTCAGATTCGAACCCACGCAATAAGGGGGAGGCTTTAGTACAGCCAGCGCTCAAAGCACTTAAGCTACGAGGCCCCTCCGGACGACGCGAGTTTAATTACATTTGTGTCAAGGTACCCGTCCAACCTACTGCAACGTCTGAATTATTCAAAATCTGTCAAAACAACTATGAATTACGTGTGCCTGGTAGTCATCTGGTGGATTCTAGGTGAAGTACATAGGAAATCCTGCTTAAGCAGTCAACTTACTCTATCAGATTTGGTGGATTCTAGACGTTGCAGCATGTTGGGCGGGTAACTTGACTCAAATGTGCTTAAACTCGCGTCGTCCGGCGGGGCCTCGTAGCTCAAGTGGTTAGGGCGTTGGCCGTACTGAAGCCTTCCCCTTTCTGCGTTGGTTCGAATCCCACTGAGGCGACGAGTTTTTCACAAATAAGTCGATATGAATTTATGTTTAGGAATATGGAGTAGCGCTTAAATTTATCTACATTTTGCGGCTGTATTAAGGCTTAAACAGAAGTTATTCCAAATGTGTTCTCCCTTCTGTTAGTTGTAGTCAATTATATGTTTTACAGTTTTGAATAAAAAGCATGTTAGCGACAATCAATCTCAAATCTTCTTGAACAAAATCAAATTACATAACCTCCTTATTTTGAAAGTACCGTTAATATGCTATCTTAAAGAATGTTGAACCGAATTGCAAAATGTGATTTCGACCAGAAAACATTGCATAAGTAAGCTCTTTGGGTTAATTGTCGCACAGCAAATTCGTAAAATGTGTCCGTCAAGTCAGGATGCCGGCTTCTAAACCACTTGATTAGTATTACATTTTTGGACTGATGTTTAATGCCCTTATTAATCCAAACACATTTTATGGAGAACATGTAGAAAATAAAGTTTTGTATTTTTTAGTGAGAAAGATCCCAATCTTTAAATTTATACTTTAAGAAAACGTATAGTTCGGTCTTACGTAACCTTTCCAATCCCCGAACAACTTTGAAACTTACCTGCCGTTGCAGTTGTTGTCGTAGTTTCCAAACCATAGAAAGTCCATCTTTTCTTCGGTAAAAAACACAAACTTATAAACACTGTTAAAAAAGCATCATATACGATTTTTAAATTTTTGTAAAAGATGTGGTTCTTGTTGTTTTCTTTGCAAGCAGTACGATAATTTATGTAAGGACAATTCACTGTTTTAAAAGTCCAATAATTACAAATCTTATAGAAACAAAATACCCAGTCTTCGAGTGTAATTTTAAAGAAAGCTTAATATGTCAGTAAATAGGGTAAAAATAGATTGAAGGTTTTCAGTAACATATATCTAAATATAGGTAGGCATCAAAAATCAGTGTTCAACGTCATGCTATTTACGCAGTCATCTGTACACAGTGTTTATGTTGCAATCGGTCGACGGAAACTTGCTTACAATTCAGCATTTCAACGTGACTGCGTTGTCGTGAGGTTTAGCTGTGCAACAGTTAGTCTAACAACTGTAGTTAAGTTATACATTTTTCAATCAATACAGATTTCCTAATTTTGATTAATATTTTCGAGGACAGCATTCACTAAATAACCGATTCTGAAATGCAGTTTCGATTAGAAAAGATTGGTCAGGCTAAGCTGAATACTATCGGGGTTTAAATGTATAATTCAAGCTGCTACAGACAAACATCAGAATGATTACATAATGGAGGAGTAACATACATCCACAAACTCTAAAACATTAGATGACAGGAAAGAAAAATGACATGTTCATATACCATCAACTGCAAACAAAATCCATAAAATTGAACCTGGAAAACGGAAAATGTTTAAGGGGAAAAACCGCGCAGTTGTGAAGGCCTTTCCCTTTCCAGTTGACTTTTAGTATATCAAAGCAAACTGACCTGAG